TGATGAAATGAAAAGAGTATGGAGTTATAATAGGATTATGAGGGATGCTCAAATTTTTATTATTAACCTGGCATTAATTAACCAACTGTGTGATGTGTTTCAAGTCACTTAACCTCTAGTAAAACTAGCTTCTTACTTTAAAGAACATACAAATATAAAACTGGATATTAATGTCCTTTTATAGTTTCAAGGTTTACCTTAAGGATTTTGGTTTTTTTTTAAAGTGTAGATGTAAGTGCTATAGAAATGTCAAGCATTACATACAAATAAAGTAGGATTATTCAAACAATTTCTTACTAACATTTTCCTTTAATATAATTGAATACCATTCTCTATATTTAATGATCTAATTAGATATTATGCTAGTACATCACAACATTAAGAAACATACATCCATTCTTCTTTGATTAAAATAGTTTTTCATGTACTAAAACCCTAAAATTAGAGGTTGAATTATTTTAATACAATAACGTCAATGATGAGGTCACTCAACATTTTATGCGGCCTTTGTGTCTTTATGGTTTAGAATTTAGCACACAATTCAAACTCCAATTAACAGCATATCTTTTAAGTGGGGCTTGCATGCTATTGCTAATAAATTAAATTCTTTGTTGCTAAATTTTCTTGATGCTTCTATTCACATAACAATGAATGAGTTTTACATAAAGTTTTTTTCTTCTTCCCAATAAACATGTGTACTTGTGATCTTAGGGTTAAATAGTGAATTGGTTGACAAGTTTATGAACTTGGATACAAAGACTTTAAAACAAACTTCTGTAGATAACTTCTGGAGGACAGGTTGTCATTTTCAGCAGGAAGTCAGATATTTCCCCATTCAGTTCTCCCCAGCACAGACATATAAATTGTCTAAATCCCTACTTAGGCTATCGATAACTCAGAGAGCACATTTTCCTTTTGAAACTCAGTAGTTTACAGACATGACAAGAGTAGTCAGGTCACTCCCACAGGTGTATTTTAGAGTCACTCTGATGTGCCTATGAGAACATGTTGAACACAATCTGACTAATGCCTCTCAACCTTTCAATGAAATATGTTAATCCACCTTTTATAAAAATTGCAGTTAAACTCCAAACTCGGGCCCAATATCACTGCTTTATTCTATTCACAGGATTAAGGTGGGGACTAGAGAAAGGCAAGTGACCTTGCAGGGCACAGTGTTAAGGAAGCATTCATCTTCACATGGCATCAAGTGTCAAAAAGGCACTTACTCGCTAAAACCGGTTTGGCTCAGTGGATAGAGCATTGGCCTGTGGACTCAAAAGTCCCCGGTTCAGTTCCAGTCAAGGGCATGTACCTTGGTTGTGGGCACATCCCCAATGGGGGTGTGCAGGAGGCGGCTGATTGATGTTTCTCTCTCATCGATGTTTCTAAATCTCTCTCTCTCTCCCTTCCTCTTTGTTAAATATCAACAATATATATATATATATATATATATATATATATATATATATATATATATATATATATATATATATTTTTTTTTTTTTTAAATGCACTTACTCAACTCCAATGATAGTGTATAAACAAAATAACCATGGAGGTAAAACAAGTCACAATAAACCTAAATAAATTAAAATTGCACAATATATGCTCTCTATTCCTAATGGAATTAAATTAGATATTAAAAGAACATTTTTTGAGAAACCTTTAATTATTTGGAAACTAAACCAATTTCTAAAATAATCTGAGTTAAAGAAGTGATGGCAACTGAATACATATACACACAAAATATCAAAATTTATGAAATGTAGCTAAATCAGTGCTTAGAAGGATGTGTAATTTATAGTTCTAAGTTCTACATTAAAAATAAGTTCTCAAATCAATATCCTACATTTTTATCTTAAATGATTAGATAAAGAAGAGAAAACTGAACCCCCAGGAAAGAAAATGGTAAGATTAGAGCAAATTATTAAAACTGAGGAGACAATTTGATGAAACAAGGTCTTGTATTTGAGAGAAATAAAATTTACATATCTTTAGTTGAACTGACCAAGAAAAACAAACAAACAATAAAACAAAAACAAAACAAATTAACAAAGCCAGGATTTAAAGTGAGAATATCATTAATGATTATTCATAAATGAAAAGGATTATGTGGAAAAAACTATAAAAAAATACACCAACAAATTAGACCACTTAAGTGAACTAGACAAATTTTTAGAAAAGTGCAAGGTACTAAACTGTCTCAAGAAGAAATAGAAAATCTACACAGATCTACCAAATATATAAAGATTAGTATAAGTCACTATAAAGTTCATAAAAATATAGAAGATGACACATTTTATGAAGCCACTATATCCTTATAATAAAACCAAGTGAAGACACAAGAAAACTAAAACACAATATCACTTATGAATAAACATTTTAAGACTTCAAAATATGAGCCCACCAAATTAAATAATGTGTAAAATATTTTGTACTCTGACAAAGTGGAATTTTTTTGCAAGAATGCAAGATTGCTTTAACATTTGAAAATTAATATAATAGACCATATTATTAGCATGAAGGACAAAAATAAATGATCTTACTAGATGCAGAAAAAACACATGACAAAATCCAACACACATCCTATATAATCAAAAGCTAATATGCTAATTAGACCAAAGAGCAGTACGACCATCTGGACATCCTTCAGAATCTTCCTGAAGAAGCCAGGGCTGAACTGAGGCAGCTGTGAGGGCTGGCTGAGGATGTGAGGGGCTGTGATGGCTGAGCCCCTTACACGAATTTTGTGCATCGGGCCTCTAGTTTATTATAAAACTCTATAGAGATTATAATGAAAACAAAACACTCAACCTGAACAAAAGAATCTCTGGCAATTGTCCTGTTAACATCACACAAGTGATGTCAGGCTGAAAGATTTGCTCCTAAGAATGAGAACAAGACCATGATACCATTTGTCTAATCAACATTTCAGACAGTTTGCTAGCTGGGAACAAAAGGTATAAGAAAATACTGATTGAAGAAGGGGAAGTAAAACCATCTTTATTAACAAGTGCCATAATCTCATATGTAGAAAAGCATAAGAAATAATTGAGTTTGAAAAACATGCATGATACAAGGTAATATACAAAAAGGTAATTGCATTTCTATATCTGAGCAACAAAATTTCAAAAGTAAAGAAAATAATTTCCCTTACAATAGTATCAAATCGAGAAAATGCTAGGTATCAGTTTAATTCATTAAATGCAAAACTTTAACTGACAACTATAAAAGTTTACCGAGAGACATGAAAAACATATCTAAACAAATGTGGAGATATTGCATATTCATTGATTAGAACTCCATACTATTAACATGGTAATTCTTTCTAATTTTATTTATTGAATCATTGAAATCCCTATTGATATTCCTCCTGGCTTTTTGTATGGAAATTCACAAATGCATGTAAGACTTGGAACTGCAAAGAAAACAGGAAAACAATGAGATGGCTTCCTAACCTCAAATGTAATAACAAGTATCCAGACAATGTATTATTGCATATGAATAGGTATATTGGGTAGGTTGGTTAGTAGATTTTCATGTTAGTGAAAGAGGAAATTAAATGGATGGAAAAGATTATTTTCAAAACATTTTGTTGGGATAATTGTATATCAACATGTAAAGAAATTTATCCTATCTAATAAAGAGGGGATATGCTAATTGACCTTCAAGCCATCAAGATGGTGGCACCCATAGCCAATAAAGAGGAAATACGCTAATTGACTGTCCCATCTTCAAAGATGTTGGCACCCACAGCCACAAGATGGTGACACCCAGTCCCCTCAGTCCCCCAGCCACCCAGGGCTGACACAAGGCACAGGCAAGCCTCAGATGTAGGTTGCCCAGCTACCCAGGGCCGACTGAGCCTCAAATAACCAAGGCCAGCTTAGGCTTGTGCTGCTGGCAGTGGCAGTGGCAGCAGCAGAGGTATGATGGGGCGTCACCTTCCCCTGATCGATGGGTCGCCTCCTGCCCATGAACGCTCCTGATTGTGAGAAGGCCAGGCCGGGCTGAGGGATGCCTCCCTCCAGTGCATGAATTATAAAAAAGAAGATAGACAATAGCAAATGTTAGCAAAAATGTAGAGAAACAGAATATTGTATGCATTGTTGGTGTGAATTTAAAATGGTATAGTCACTTTGCAAAATAATCTGGTAATTTCTTAAAAAGTGATACAAAAATGTACCATAAATCTCAGCAATTCTAGCACTAGGGATCTGTCCAAGAGACACAAAATGCATATCCACACAAATATTTTTGTGTGAATTCATTACTTATAAAAGTTAGTTGATAAAAAGTAAATCTTAAATTTCTCATCACAAGGAAAACATTGATATAATGCATGATAATAAATATTAACTGAAGTTATTCTCATTTCTCAATATCTATATCATTAAGTTGTACATCTGAAACTCGTATTAATATTAAATGTCAGTTTTATCTCAAAAGTACAAAGTGAAAACAAGCCCAATTTTCATTAACTGATGAATGGGTAAGCAAAATGTTGAATACATTCACAATGTTGAATACATTGTGAATTCTCTTTGGCAGTATAACCAACAAAGTACTGATACATGATACAACCTGGAAAGTCCTCAAATTTTTATAATAAGCAAAAGAAGGCCATCACAAAAGACAACATATTGCACCATTCTGTTCATGTAATGGCCAGAAAAAGCAAATCTATAGAGACAGTATGATTAATGGTATCTAGGACTGGTGTTGGGAACTAAGAGCTCATCTTTTGGGTCATGGTAATGTGCTAAAACTGGATAGTACTGATAGTTGCAGAGTTAAATACATTTGCAAAAGCTATTGAATTATTTATTTGAAATTTGTTAATTCTATGATATATAAATTATACTACTAAATATTTGGTAAAGAAAAGGTTCCATGAACTCTACAGACTTTTTCTATCATAAGTTTTGCTACATGTCTATGTTCATATTTTATTTTTGTGTGTGATCTTTTAAGGTCCATTCTGTGAAGAGTCAGAGAGACATGTTTTTGTTGGAAAAGGGGAATTTGCCAAAGTGAAAGCTCTGCTTACATTTGTGAATGTGCAGAAGGATTTCTCAATCAAGACTGAAATTGATGATAAGAAGTGTTCATTAATACCAGGTAAGAATGGTAATGACTGCAATGATATTTCAAATGCAAGTGCTAATCTTACATACAAGAGAGCGGTTTTAAAACATTTTTACAGTTACCAAACAATTTCAAAAGTACAAATATTTGGTTTTCATTTTAAATTTTCAAGTTTAAGATATCTATCTTTCTTATTTAAAATTTCCTATTTTAAATGGAAACCCTGATTCCAAAAGCACTATTTAGTTTCATTGTTGCTCTTGCATCAAAATTCTCCCTTGTAAACAATGTAATTTTGTAAACTGTTTTTATTTTAATTTATTGGTTTTTAATTTTTTTTAGTTATTCGCTTATTTGATATATTTAAATTAAAACTTTTAATTTTAACATTTAAATAAATAATACTAAAAATAATTGTTCTCATAAATAACTACCTTATTTTAGTAATATTTATATTTGAATTCATATTTAAATATTAAAATTGTTTTTACTCACATATGTAATGATTATGCAGGCTGTCAACTGGGACCCAAGCTGGAGCCATCAGCCAGAACCTTATCTAACTACCCTGCATGGTTTGGGCATAGGTTCTGAAATAATTAGATTAACATTGGATGCCTTTTAAATTTGTCTTTGAATGCCCAGAGCTTCGCTTTTTGTATAGTCAGAAATTTGTTACATTTAAGTTGGAGAAATAAAGTCCCCAACTCTCAATTAGAGGAGTGGTGAATTCACATAGGAAGTATGTGAATTCTTTTGACATTTTGGAAAGTAAAATCTTCCACTACATGCTTATGAGAATAATGTCCACGTTTTAATCATTTCATCATCTTTGTAGTACCTCAAAACTTTAATAAAAACACTTTTTAATGTTTTCAAGTTACCATATGCATCTCTGCACCAATATTGACAGGCAAGCTTTGTAAGAGACTTCAAATGCCATGTGATTCATTTCCTTGCAAGAGTAATGCAACATACAGAAACCATGAGAAAAATTATCATTGCAAGTATAATTCATTTGTTATTTGATTAAATAAAAAATATATGAATTTTAAAGAAATGTTCTATTTTAAACTTAAAATATATTTAATAAATATAGTAATTGATTTAAAGTAGCAACTTTAAAAAATATATATTTTATTGATCTTTAACAGAGAGGAAGGGAGAGAGATAGAGAGCTAGAAACATCGATGAGAGAGAATCATCGACCAGCTGCCTCCTGCACACCCCCTACCAGGGATGTGCCCACAACCAAGGTACATGCCCTTGACCGGAATTGAACCTGGGACCTTTCAGTCCATAGACCGACGTTCTATCCACTGAGCCAAACCGGTTTCAGCAGAAGCAACTTTTTTAATGTGATTTTATGAGTTGTTTAATTATTGTGGTATTGATTTTGAATAAATATTTAAGAAATTCTCAGGTATAATTTGACATACAGTAGTAAAACATATATTTGGTTACATAATGATGATTTTTTTAGGATAAAAATAATATTTGAAGGTCTAGAAAAAGAGATAAATATATGTACCCACAATATTATTTATGTTATATAAATACCATATTTTCCGGCGTATAAGACGACCCCCTAATTTTACAGTTAAAATATAGGTTTAGGCCTATATTCACTGCATAAGACTACCCCCCACTTCCGAGGCAACACCAGTTCTTTTTTTAATAAACCGCCTCTCTGACTCTGGCCAATCTGAGCAGGCTTTTTACTAGAACACAATGTAGCTTCGGGTACAGAACGTGTATAATTTGCATGCATAAAAAGCCTGCTCAGATTGGCCAGAGTCAGAGAGGTTGTCTATTAAAAAAAAAAACTGGTGTTGCCTCGGAAGTGGGGGGTAGTCTTATACAGCGAATATAGGCCTAACTGTAAAATTAGGGGGTCGTTTTATACACCTGGTCATCTTATATGCCGGAAAATACGGTACCATATTAATATTATATTTTGAAAGTATAGAGTAACCATCTCTTCCTTCAATTCACAGAAACCAGCTGACAAATTTTAGTTAAGGTCTTTAGGCAAACTCTTTAGAAAGCAGTGCTTTCTTTAATAAGAATTGCTAAAAAAAAAAGTTACCCATTTGTAAATGACAGAAGTGACCTAGTTATCTGGGTCTATAATTTTAGTCCATCATAAATAGTTTTATAGATATTTCCTCAGACCATTAAGAAGTATAATTTGTACTCTCCACTCTTGCTTGAGTTTTATGTGACTGCTTAAAGTAAGTTCTGTTAGGCATTACTGAAAGGCAATAAATAGGCTCAAGTTTTAGAATATTCATAAAAGCAGAAAATTAAAATATCTGGTACAGAAAAGACTTAAACTGGAAAATAATAACTTAGAACATGTATATGCATCATAGTCGTACAATGGATAGCATTTTCATCAATTTTAAAGGAATCTAAACATAAGGTTTACAAACATTACATTTTTAAAATGTAACATTTTCAAACAAGAATTAAATTTGATCATTATGCCAAGATATTGAAAGTTCTAACCCATCCAGTCAAGTTTGTATATACATTCAATCTTAAGTCAATTTACCAATAAACCCAATTATTATTCTTAGAAAAATAGTGACTTTTGATTTATAACTTCTAATTTTTATAATATTTGTATATATATTATTTTACTTTGAAAAGTCAATTTTTTTAGAATATGTAAGTATGATATGAATATGAGTAAATATGCATTTATAATGTTTGTTTTCATTTTTATTCAATATGATGCTTTTGTTAGCCTTTATTAATAGCACTATTCTGGCTGTTTAGAGGCTTTCCTTTTTCCTTTTTTTTTTCTTTTCTTTTACATTTCATCATGTAGGGGGAAAATTGACAATCAAAAACAAGATATTTGATAACGAAATATGTAAAGACTAGAGGTCCAGTGCATGAAATTTGTGCATGAGTAGGGTTCCTAGGGCCTGGCTGGTGAACAGGCCCATTCTGTAATGCAACTGGTAGGGCAATGGGTGGCCCCTGCTGGCACCCTCCTTGGCCAGGCTGGTATTGCCCGCTGGGTGGCCCTGCCCTCTGCCACCGCCACCAGTTGCCTTCCTCTGTGGAGGGGACCAGCTGGGCGATCAGAGGGCCCCTGTGGCACTCGCCTTGGCTGGTTTGAGGCCACTGGGCTGGGGACAGCTCCTGATTTCCACCAGTCATTCCACTGTTTGGTTGATTTGTATATAAGACTTTTATTACATAGGACTAGAAGCCCCATGCACAAAATTTGTGTTGAAGTCCCCTCAGCCCAGCCTGCACTTTCTTCAATTTGGGACCCCTTGGGGGATGTCTGACTAGGCCTAAACCAGCAGGAGGACATCTCTCTCACAATCCTGGACCACTGGCATCTAATTACCTGCCTGCCTGCCTGGTTGCCCCTCAACCCCCCCACCCCGATGGCTTGATCGCCCCCCCACCCTCCTAAGCTAGCTTGATTGTCCCTAAATGTTCCATGCTACTGGCCAGCTCATCCCCTACTGCTCCCTCCCTGCAGGCCTAGTCACTCCTACCTGCCCCCCCTTCTGCTGGCCTGGTCATCCCTTACTGTCCCCCCTGCCAGCCTGGTCACTCCAATCGCCCCCCTCTACCAACCTGGTTGCCCCTAACTGCTCCCCACTGCCAACCTGGTCACCCCACACATACTGCTTATTCAGTCCTTTGCTTGTCCTTCACTAATCCTCATCCTGGCCTGGTCATAGGCCACCATCTTGTGATAGTGTGAGGATGTGAGGGTTAATTTGCATATTACTACTTAATTATATAGGATTGGGAGAGGTTGTTTCTCTTTTTTCTGTGTCCATCACAGAAAAGGAAACAGTCCAGTTGCTGAGTGGAGGAACTGGGGGTTAAGAAATTAAAGAAAGAAAGAGAGCTAGACTCAGAAATATATTTATAAAGCTGGGAGCTAGGTGGGAGCCATTCTCTCTGATGGAGAGGCAGAGGGCACCTGAGCCACACAGCAGAATTATTTTATAGGATCAAAGCAGCTTATTTGCATTCTTTTTTTAAAAAATATATTTTACTGATTTTTTACAGAGAAGAAGGGAAAGGAACAGAGAGGCAGAAACATCGATGAGAGAGAAACATCGACTAGCTGCCTCCTGCACAGGCCCCACTGGGGATGTGCCCGTAACCAATGTACATGTCCTTGACCCGAATTGAACCTGGGACCCTTCAGTCCTCAGGCCGACGCTCTATCCACTGAGCCAAACCGGTTTTGGCTTTATTTGCATTGTTAAGTAGGCCCTAGCATTACTAGATTTACATATCTAGACCAGCCCCTGCCAACACCTGGACAAAGGTAAAACTGAATAACATCCCCCGCCTTCTTGGAAAGGTGTAACCAGGGACATGACTCTGCCAGTGCCTCAAGCTCAGCTGACAATTTAAAGAAATGTTCTTGTGCCTTCTCAGGGAGCCCTCTTCATAGGATTATGTCTAAATCTGAAATTTTGCCTCTAAATCTTTTATTTTCTCCACCCAAATTCTAACATATTTCATGGTAAAATAATGTTCTATTTTACTCTTAGCTTGTTTTTTTCTCATCTGTTTCTTAGTCACTGAATTACAATTATAGTTGGTCCTACTCCAGTGTCAATTCAATACATTAACATATTTTATTTTTCTAAAGTCAGTTTCCACATGTCATTAGTACGTGTGATGACTCACTATATTAGCCATGCATAGAGTTAAGGTTTTCAATTTCTATAACAAGTAAACCTAATTAAGCATGCATTGTGACTTTGAAAGAGAACAGTGTACAACAGAATTCACATAGGTCAACATATTTCTTTTCAACATAGAATAAGTTGCATTTCCACATTTATTTTGAAAAATGCTTTTAAAAATAGGAGTCACATATTTAAGTGAAGAATTTGTTAATTAATGAAAGGTGTCTGCTTGGTCACTCAATAATTTTCAACTAAAAGGACAACTAAAAGTTATTAATTGAGATAAATAACTCAATTTCTTTGAGTTATTTATCTCAAAAGCTGAGCGGCTATATTTTTCTTTCTTTGAAATTCAAAGCCCTATTTGTAAGGGTAACTTTGCCTTTTGAATAAATAATTTTAAAATTTAACAAACCAAGATGTTCAATTTTATATATGGTTTTATAATTTATATTTTTGTTGTAAACTATATACTATTGAAAATATCTAGGATGTTGATGAATTTCCTCATCAAGACTATTTTTTTACTGTTCATATAATTTTATATTTTGGGGGGACTATTACAGGTGACAGAAGTCATCCTCAGATCTTGTCCCCTACATGCCTCATTTTGAGAATATATGCTCACATTAGTACAGTTTTTTTCATTAGTCCTGGACCTATTAATTTTCTTTTGAGCATGATATGCGAATCGACTGAACGGTGGAACAACCAGTCACTATATTGCATACTAACCACCAGGTGGCACACGCTAAACATCTGTGCTTTCCCCGGTGGTCAGTGTGCTCCCACAGTGGGAGTGCTGCTCAGCCAGAAGTCGGGCTCATGGCTGGCGAGCACAGCGGTGGTGGTGGGAGCCTCTTCCCCTCACCCCCCTCACAGCAGTACTAAGGAGCAGCAAGCAGGTGGGTGGTAAGGAGAGAGGGGTCCCCAACTTGGGGGGGGGAGCACAGGCTGGGCTGAGGAATACCTCATCCCCAGTGCATGATTTTTGTGCACCAGACCTCTGGTAAATAATAAAACATTATGACAGAAGTTAGTATAGACCTACATACATAAAGGTTGAATTAATATCATGTAATCCCTAAGTATTCAAGGGCATAGATGATCAAATGAATTTTAGCCCCATAATTCTCTGTACAATTTCTAACATTCCTTAATATCCACTACTCTTCTACTGTACTTTCAGGATCATTTTGTCAGCAGCCAATTCTCTAATACCACAATTTCTTTTGTATTCCTTCCTTTCTATCCATAATCTGTGTACAGCTGCCGAGAAAGTATAGATAGCTTCTTTGCCTTTGTTACCACATCCCAACCAT